ACAATCTGTCCCAATTGCTGGATATCCGGTTTAGCGTTCGACAATTTGTATCCTACCGCCCATTCTGTACAGGTACGCTATTGAATGAATTCTCGCAACGGACCCTCTGACGATGTTAACTTTAACGTAGACGTCGGCTGGCTGATCTGGACAACGTGAGCGATACCCCTTGTTAGCTGAAGGCATTGGTGTTAAAAAATCTGTGGCATCATGTTTGAATGAAGTTGCGAAATCCGTCGGTTCATCCATAAACGTCGAAAAAACCAAATTGTTTTGGGCAGCATCTACTGACCTGGAGACGAGAGCCCTCAAGATTAATGGTAGTCAGCTTGAAAAAAAATAGTTTCAGATACGCGGGACAAGTTGGCTACGAAAAAGACAAAGTGGAGACGACAATATCGACCGAATCGATGGTGCGTACTAAGTGACCAACACCGCTTGAGAAGTGCTTCGAATTAAGTACACCGACTTCACCTCCAATGAGACAATCCGCACTCACTGAGACAACACTGCAAGGATATTTAAGGCCATCCGGGAAAAACAACCGAGGTAGTATGGGTATGTTTGTCGTCTGCCTCATGCGGTCAGTGTGATTGTAATCAATCCGAAGTCATTGCCTCCTGGCTCGACATGAGTTGTTAAAACATCGAAGTTGTTTTTAAGCTTTCGATGTCCAGGCTCTGTCACTGGAAGAACTGGCTAAATTGTCAGGTCCGCCATCGCCGAATGACAAGCACGGAGATGTACAATCTGTGACACTATGTCCGACATGTTCATAGATGATACCTAACTTCAACAAATATCTTGGATGGCATGAACAGGGGGATGACAGTCTTTAAACAAAAAAACAATGCGATTCTAAACAGGGTAGTTAATATACCTGTCAACACTAGCGGCAATGATGGAGATTATTTCCTTCCTTTTTACAAATTATTATTATTATTACATTTATAGCGAACTTTGCCAAGTTCGATGCTTCTCTTCAAGTGGAAAAAGTCGGCCAGCATGCAGGTAACCAGTAATTTCTTGAAATACTTCCTCTGGTTTATTTCTTCTAACAACTTAGCGGCACACGTGCAATCAAAGTGGTCAGAAGAATGAAAGGAGCAGCTATGACCGAATATTTGACGATTCCATTCAACGTCGACGAAGATAAGTATTAGCGCGGTTTCCTCGCGACGTGCACACGCAAGGGTAAGACTTCACGGTCTGCTAAATCACAAAACTTCTTAACAAATTTTCTACGCGCGGAACACTAAAAAGGACCGCACGATGCCCGACACTGTTAATGTGGTACGACCGACCTTCAAGATGCCCTACAACTCCCTCGATAGTCACCGAAAACAAAGTGACCAA